CGCCAGTCCTGGGTGACAGCGTCGTGCCCCCCAAGTCCCCCAGCCCCGCCTTCATCCTGTTTCTCTCTCCTCTTGAGTTTCTCTTTCCTAGGTGGGTGGATGTTGAGAAAATGTCTTTCCGTGAAGTCTACACTGGCCCGGAATTCGAAGCGATCCTCTCGCTTCAGCTTCGCTAGGGCTGGGCGGTTCCTTTCCTTAGTATTGCTTAGTGTTGTGTTTTTCCCCAACAAAGCATCACTTCTCCAAAGTCCTGTCGCCCAAACAGGTGAATCAGAGCACCCACCCCTCAGCATAGCCTGGGAATGTTTTAGTGCCCCTCCCCACCCCAAGGAGATGGCACAAGGCCAGTTCCTTCACTTCTTGGTAACTTGTTTCTTACATAAGACTGCTGAGAAAGCTTTAATTTCCTCTTCTAAACGGACCAGGTGGTGAGGTGGGAAAATCCACAGTAGGCCGGCTGACTACGTGTTGAGAAATGTCTACGTTAGAACATGCTAAGTGTGTGTGTGTTGGGGGGGGGGGACATCCCAGCAGGCCATCGCAGATTTAGAGAAAGACAGAATAATCTTGAAACGCCAGCAGAACCACAAATATGCTAAAGAAATACATTCTAGTGAGAAATTACTCAAAAGACTACAGGCTTGTATGAAAAAGTATTCTTGTATTAACCTCTGACAATCTTAAAACATACAAAATTTAAAAGAGAATAAGTGCAAGTGCTAAAAACTATTTACCAGCAATTATGCAAAGCTTAAAAGAAAGTGCTAGCGCCAGCAAGTGAGTCTGGGTAGAGGATAGATGTATTCAGAGGGCAGAGAGATGGTTTGTGTGTGTAGGGTCTCTGACACGGTTTTCGTGTGTAGGGTTTCTCTCCTGTGGGATTTTATTAGGTCTATTTCACGGGGGCTTCTTTTGAACTGCTTTAGAGGAGTTACATGAGCAATCCATCAGAAGCCTTTGAGCTAGGACCCCTGTAGTTTTCCCTCTTTGAATAGAAGAACAGTGTGAGAAACTGACTTTTGGGGAGCAAGACGGGAGGGTTTATAGTCTTCTTCATCCATCCTGGGTGCCTCTGGGGCTCAGCACCTCCACTCAATCCCCGTCTTTCCAGCATTGGCCCCAGGCCTCTAGGATGGTGGAAATGACTTAACCCAGTCATCCCCTTTATTTCACAATGAAGAAACTGGAGCTCAAGGAGGTGAAGCAAACTGGAGCTCAAGGAGGTGAAGCACAAAGGTGGGGGGGGGGGTGCTGGTAGAGTGCTTGCCTAGCATGGATGAAGCCCTTAACTTATGGCAGTAGACTCCTGTAATCACAGTGCCGGGGAGGGCGGAGGCAGGAAGACCAAAAGGTCATCCTATATGAGAGAACTTGTCCAAAATAAAATAAAGAATAAAATAAAAACCACACAAGAACCCCAAAGTCACCCATTGGCAATCAGATGTGTGGCTCGCCCCTCCATGATATTTGAGACTCACAGTGACCGTCATCCAAATCTATACATAGAGTTCTTTAAAAATTGTTAAATGGGACTAAGACTCGTCGTGTCTTGTGTGTATTGCGAAGACCTTGAAATGCTTGCTCTCACCCCTAAAAACAAAAACCTTAAAATGTGGCAGGCACTGAGATTTTGCTCCTTGCCCTCCACCACGCCAGCTTCCCCTCTCTCTGAGTGCCCTGAAGGATCCTAGAATTATTCTCATGGCTTCTCCCCACCCCCACATTTCTGTGGAAGGCTTTACGGGTGGCTGATGACCATCTCAGAGTGGAGGAAACGGGCAGTGGTGGCTGAGAAGGGCCCAGACCTTGCTGGTTCCCTTGTGTTCCACCGTGTTTCTCCCACCTGGGAGGTGTGCCCTTCCTCTTTCCCTTTTACCCTCTTTCAGGCTCATTCCATGAGCCCTGCTAAACACTGCTTGGCCAGTTTTTCTTTCCTTTTCTCTGCCCCAATTTAATCATTTCCTAGATATGACACAGGGATGGGAGGCCTTGGCTGCCTCTGAAAGTCACAGTGAACACTGTTCCCTGGGAAACATAACACAGTACCGCCTTAGTGCATCACTGGGAAGGAGGTGGGCGGGGCATGCTCGTGACCCACGTAAACAACAATGGATCCCCAAACTGGGAATCTGCACAGAGAAGACTATCAGCAAGAACCAGGAGGGCTCCAGAGTTCCCTAGTCCCCCCCTCACAGACACCTGCAGGCCACAAGGTATCCAGGCTGGCTGTGAAGAGGCCCACTCAGCTTGAGCTTCCAGTGTCATCTCATAATATAGCCGTCCCCTGTGTCAGCATCTGAGTCTGAGGTGTCAGTTTTTTCAGACGACCCATCTTCAGTCCACAGACCCTGTGAAGAGACGCTGGGATGAGGTGACTGTGTCCTGTCCTCACCGGCCATTGGAAGGCCTGACTCTGTCCTGTGGGGAGCCTCGTCTAGGTGGACCGGATCTTCTGCGAGAGATGACACCTCTGAGCCCCCTTCAGAGTCATCATGGAGAACTCTCAAAAACACAGAATTTAAGTTCACGTTGAAGATAACTTTGTCCCCGGTCCCATTCACGGAGCTGCTGTCATCCCCGGGGAAGGAGTCCTGGAGCACACTCTCTCTCCTCTCATAGGGACCACTCGGGTCTTCTGAAGGCCTGAGGCCCAGCCCCACCACAGCCTCGGTGGGGAGTTCTGGCTCAGTCCCAGGCTCCGTGGCATCAGATTCCTCAGCGGCTGAGTCTTCTTCAAGCTGGGACTCCAGGGGGTGGTTTGCGGGGTCAGAGGCCTGGCTCAGAAGCCTGCCCATGAGTCCATGCGTGGTGTAACCAGTGGCACTCGCTTTGGGGACGTCTTCATCACTGTCACTTCCATCTCCATAGTCATAATTCCACACCTTCTTCTTTTTGCTTGAGGGAATGATCTCCAACTTGTCAACTCCTTCTGACGGTGGTACTTCAGGGAATATCCAGGACAGAAAGTTATGGAAATTCTAGAGAGGGAGGAAGGACATAGGGAGGGAGAGAGAGAAGGTCTTTCACTTGTATTAGCTCTTCAACATTAAAGTTAGCATTCACTGTGAAGTGATGCAGACGTGGGTACATTAATGACACACACTGACGGCTGTATGTCACTTGCTGGTTGCTGGCCACTGCTCCTGTATTTCCAAACCCAAGGATGCTAGGATGCTCCATATGAAATGTCACAGCATTTGTGTGTCACCTCTCTTCTCCCACCTGTACACTCTCAACCACCTCTAGATTGCTTACAGAACTTGGCACAATACAAACGCTGTGTGAACGGAACAGTGCCAAGCAAGAGTCCATTTAGATGCCCTGTCTGTGGTTGCATGAAGCCTGGGATGCAAGCCATTTTCTAGTTTCCTTGCCCTCACAATTGCACTACGAAGCAGGCTTAGAAAAGTCCTCATGCGTCTGTCTGTCCAGTAGTTCACCTGCTCTGCATCTCCTCTTCAGTTTCTCTGACCTGCTGAAGATTTGCCATCCATCAGCACTTTAGGTGAGATCCTGACATGTTGTGTGTGTGTGTGTGTGTGTGTGTGTGTGTGTGTGCATGCGCGTGCGCGCACATGCTGGGGGATTGAACTCAGGGCCTTTTGCATGCTAAGCATATCCCATGTCACTGAACACCCAGCCACTAGACTTACTATGTATTTAAACTGTGTGTGGTATGAGGCAGAAAGGGATCCCATATAATTTGTCTAGTACAGTTCACACCATCACCAGCCATGGTTTCCCCACTGATCGCACAGCCACTGACACACAGCAGGCTTCTATGCATATATTTATAGGGGACACGGTAGCCACGCCTGCTAGGGGGGGCTTCATAACCGTCCTTTATGCCTTGACGCTTAAGGAGCTTCGATTCTTTCCTGATCAATGCCTTCCACTGGATTTGGCATGAATTCTCAAGTACAGCTGCCACCAATTGTTCCCAGTCCATGGGGGGTCACCCTGTTAAAGGTTGCCCATGAATGTAATAGCTGTTTTATGTATGGCTATGGAGACCATATGAGACAACTGATTCTTTAATATTCTTAAGATCCTTCAGCTGTATAGGTTGACATAATAAGCCATCTGTCCCTGAGGGTGTTTCTTAGAAGGTGGCTTTTTTACTCCTGTTTCTGGGCTTCTCTGATGGTCTTTTGTTACCCTTTGCTATCCTTTCCTGTGTGATGGGCATGTGTGTTTTTATTAGATTTATTTCTTAAATTAAAAAAAAATAACTTGCCGCTCCTGTAATTGTATTGATTTTGGGGCTACTGAAAATGATACACCGTTTCTATAAATATAAAAAAACGAGGAAAACAATCCATGTCCCTAGTAATCTGGATTAATCTTGGTGAGCATCGGTGCTTTGGAAGGTGGCAAGAGAGAATCCTGGGAAAGCTGGCTGTGCTTTTGTTTTTTCTCGATCTGGGCATAAGTTACATTATTGTTTGGGTTGGGTGAAATTCAGTGGCTTTACACAGTGGTTTTTATACTTCATTCCTCTGAGGCTGGAAGCAGCTTTACCCTTACTTTCTAATTAAACATGGTCAATTTAAGTATGCAATGACTTTGCCAAACCTTTTGATTGTTTCTTTGAGACGGTCTCCCCGTGTAGACTTGCTGGCCCTGTACTCACTATGTAGGGCAGATTACTGACATAAAAATTTAGCCCCAGAGTGATATAAACTTTTGAGATTAATATTCTTACTTATAAATAATTGCAGTCTGCCCTATTCTTTAAACTAAGCCCACTGGTGGGGCTTTTGTTCGCCTTGTCCCACATACCAACACTTGGAATATATGTCATTCAGTAAAGAGTCAACAAGGATTTGTTAAAGTCAAAACAGTAACCATCTAAAAGTTTTACTAGCACGTTCAAGACCCCGAGTTTGAGTTCCCCAAATTGAACTTTCTGGTAAAAATGCATCTCCAAACACACTAGGCCTAGAGTGGCATGCGTTCCTTTTTCTGGAAGATTCGCTTAAATGGAGAGCAATAATTTTTAACAGAGAAGTAGAGGACAGACCTAAGGTGACAACAGAACTAAGTGACTAAAGCTATCATATGTGCAGGGACAGTGGCCACTGGGGGAACAGGGTAATGCAGATGAGCTGCACCAGGAGAAAACAAGGTGTTTCTACTTGAAATGTCACAAAATCATTGCAAGAGGGAACAGTGTGACTGTGGCAGGAAAGACGGGAAATGGCCGGCAAAAGCAGCTGAGTGAAAACACACGACGTTTAGAAAGATATAGATCAACAACACTCAGATTCTACAAGGGCCCTGAGCTGCCAACAGAGGCAGACAAGAGCTAAGCAAACGGTTGTCCTTGTGACTCATGAGAGCAGCACTTGAGAACCACTATGATCAGCCATCAAGTACAGGACATCGAACAAAGCATGACAAGTTAGCTTGTTATGACATTTTATAAGATAAATCTACTTTGTCTCTCTCTCTGTGGACTATTTCCATTGTACTATTCCTAATTGGAAAGAGAGAGCAAAGAAAATCAATCCAAATGCCCTACAGTTGGGAAAAAAGAATGCCTTGATAATAATGCAATTCCATGATCATTAAACATAATAGGTATGGAGTAGGGGCTGAAAGGGCTCATTCAGTAAAGTGTCTACAACACAAGTGTAAAGTTTGATCCCTAGTGCTCATGGGGGCGGGGGCTGGTTCAACAGCCTTAATCTGTAATCCTAGCAGAAGAGGGGCAGGCGGGATAGAGACAGTTGGAGCCCTGAAGCTCATTCTCAGCCAGCCTAGCTGTACAGATAGCCTTCAGGTTCAGTGAGAGACCTTCTAAAAAGATAAAGGGGGAACAATGCCCGCCCTTAAGGCTTGGAACATTGCATGAGGGGGAGCAGAAGGAGTGTAAGAGCCAGAGGACCATGAGTTTGCTGTGAGATTGTGTCTCCTAGGAGCGTCAGAAGCTACACCAATACCGTCTCACCAACATGACTGCCCAAATGAGAGCTGAACAAAGACAACACCAACAGGCATGCAAAGTAGCCTGGAGTCCAGGAGAGCCTGGTCTACAACCTTACACAGAGAACTACAGGCAACTAGGGAATGCTGGGAGCTGGAGCTGGAGCTGGAGCAACCGTCCTCCCCAGGGAAGGGCACACCAACTCATTATCCAGTACCAAATGGTCAGCCCTGAACACTCATGTGAGAGCAACATTAGACAGGCCGAGCAGGTTGCACGTGTGTAGTATGTACATACATGTGTGTGTGTGATAACAGTGCCTATGGCATGTATGTAATAAGAATTAATGAAAAAGGAGTCATGAATTTGAGGGGCATCAAGGGGGGATTAAGGTTTGGAGGGAGGAAGGGGGTAAATGATGTAGTTATAATCTCAAAAAATTGTTTTAAAGTTAAAGAAAAAGCAATTATTAGCTTGTTTTGGAAAAGCTATATGCAGTTGAATAGAAAAAAAATCAAATGAGCTTAATAAAAAGAAAACGTGTTATGCATGCAAAACAAAACAAAAAATAAAGTGGAGAGGGCTGGCAGGGCAGGTAGACGCACTCAACTTCGAGACTGATCACCTGGGCTCCACCCCAGACCTGCATAGTGGAAAGAGAGAGACGGGGCCTCCTCAAATTGTCCTCTGACTTCATAGGATGCCAGGGAAGGTGACCCCTTCCCAAGCACAAATACTTAAGTGTAAATGTAGTTAAGTTCTGCTTCTTTTTAAGACAGAGGAAGAACAAGAGGTTGGCTGGGTAGGAAGGGGAAGGCTCTGGGAGGAGTTCGGATCCAGGAAAGGACAGGAAAACAGATACTGTGTGAATTTCTCAAAGACCCAATTAAAATACTCAAATGAAAACAAGCTGGGGAGCCATTGAGAAAGACACCTAAAGTCAACATGTGACTTCCACATCATGCACAGGTGAACAAATACCTACCACAGGGCGGGGGAGCGGCGGAGATGAAGGAGGAGAGAGAGAATAGATAGAAGAAACAGAAAAAATGCCCTGATACATTTGAGACTTGCAGGGATAATAAAGAATCTAGAATGACCAAGATAACTGATGTTTTTGGAAAAGGAGATTATTTACTGCAAACATATTACATCTATAATAAAAATTATCAAGTTAAAATAAGAAACAAGATAGGGGCTAGAGAGATGGCTCAGTGTTTAAGAGGCTGCTCTTCTAGAGGACCTGGTTCAATTCCCCATACTCACATGACAGCTGACAACTGTCTGTAACTCTAGTTCCAGGAGATCTGAGACACTCACACAGATATACATGTAAGCAAAACATCAATAAAATAAACAAATAATTTAAGAAATAAAGGTAGAAGAACTACATACCAAGGCATTGGGGAAATTGTGTTTTAAGCATATGTAACCAATCCGTTTCAGCATTACGACGATGCTGAAGAAGAGCACTGCTATCACACACCCAGTAACTATTCCTACTTTGTCATACTCTGACGACCCTGTTGATGAAAAGATAAATGACTTTATTCAAAAGAAATTCAGGGTATGGTCACAGGTGGGGTAACACTCACATTGGTCTCATGTCAGAATTTAATGCGGAGAAAGCCAAAGTTTGAGGAAAAATTATATCGCTAGATACCAAAGAATGGAGGCTAACATAAATGCTTTTATTTTAAACAAAATATATCTAGTTTTCAAAATAAAAATAAAACATAGTGGGGCTGGAGAGATGGCTCAGAGGTTAAGAGCACTGGCTGCTCTTCCAGAGGTCCTGGGTTCAATTCCCAGCAACCATATGGTGGCTCACAACCATCTATAATGAGATCTGGTGCCCTCTTCCGGCCTGCAGAAGACATGCAGGCAGAACATTGTATACAAAATAAATAAAATCTTAAAAAAACAAAAACAAAAACAAAACCCCCCCACATACTTCCTTGTTCTGTAATTGCAACAGAGTAGCTCCTAGCTGTCCATCTGTGGTTCTTGAAATTTCACCGATCAAAACTGGAACCTACTTTCTCTGTCACACCACATTCCAAATCCCTACTTGGTCCAGGTGGAAGAGTTGGAGGATGGACCAGCAGCTTAGAAAACCAATTAGGCCATTCTGAGGCTCAGCCTTGGCCACAGCAGGCACCCAAACCCGGGCACTCTCTTTGCCTGCGAAGAACTTGCCCTAGACTTTGTCAAACAAGATTGAAGATTTCTACCTCCGCGCTGAGAGCAGCAGTTTCCCTAAGTACCACTGGGCCAAGGTGCAGCGAGTCAGCACGTGTGGCATTCTCTTAAATTTCCAGAAAGGCTCTCTTAGTATGAACTCTGTATCCAGAGCTTCAGGGAAAACAGACATAGGAGAGAAAAGGCACTGAAAATTGATGGCATACTTCCAAGTCTTTTAAAGAGCGAGTTAATGAACTCGCTCAGTGAAGGCCCCGCACTGGGAGTTAGCCCTGACTTCTGAACCCAGGCCCATGAATGGTGTCGGATCCTCAGGCCTAGGCTCAGAGGCACCGCTCTCAGACACACAAAATCTTCACACATTTCCTAGGAAGGGAGAGATAAACCCAAGTAACCCCCACGGATGAGGCATTAGGTGACATTCTGTGATTCTGACTCACAGGTGACATACCCGACTTTCTAAAGAGTCTACAGGAGAGCAGTGCGGCAAATTCAACCGACACATGACTGACACAGTGGCCTAGGAACACACTAGGCAAATCGCGCCCAGCAGCAAGCTTTAGTAGCCTTCCCCACAGGGCGATTTGTTATCAGTCTCAGAGGTCTTCATGACTTGAAGGTTTGTGTCTGGTTTTCGCTTAGTGGTGATGTAAAATATAACCTCTCTTGGCTTGTGGCCTCTTACACATGTGTGCTATCATTGTAGATCATCTTCCTAAAAGAGGGTTAGGTCAGCTCATTTTGAGAAGCAGAGGCCAGATTTGTATCTTCAAATTGGCCTTGGATGCATCTTGTCTTCCTTTTGCAACCTAAGAGACCTGGGCAGCAAGGGTCGTGTTTCATGACTGCCATTCTCTGCAGCGGACAAGAGAACTTTCTGAGACTGCTGATGGCTAATGCTTCTTGGAGTTCTTCCCTTCTGGCCTCCCACTGGGATTATTTGCAGTGCCTGGCAGGGAGGCACCTGGATCCCCCACTTGGTGGCACACTGATGTTCCTCTTACATCCTAAATCAGATCTGCTCAAGTTCCCCTGTGGTCCCCAGGCCTCCTAATGGCTTTCAAGACCTAGGTCATCTGGAGTCTCCCACCCTCTCAGGTTCACCCTTTGCTCACTGCGCTCCAGGTCAATGCTTCCCCAGGCCCTCTGTCAGCATTCGCTGGACCCATCCTATGGAATTCCCTCCCTGCTATGTCTCCCTGACTCATTTGCTTTGTTCCTGTGGTCTTATCTAAAGAAGCAAGTTGGCAAAACCTAGCTCAGTTCAGATTGGCTTACAGTTCCAACGTTAGATGTCCAAAATGAGTTTCACTGGAATAAAGATCAGGGTGTTTGCAGGATGTCCCTTTCTGCTTTGGAGAGCCCTCCTTCATCCTTAGAGCCAGCTGACTAGCAACTCCCAGTCTCTTACAGTCCGACCTCTGCTTCCATTGTTGCTGTCCTCTGCCTCCTTCCCTTGTAAGGTCCTCTGTGCTCCCAGGAGACCCACATGGGTGGTCAGGGATAATCTGTCGCCATTTTGAATTTATTAGGAACCACCAAGCCTCTTTGTCCCCAGGAGGTAGCATGTTAACATATCTAGGATCAAGATACAGATATCTTTATGTTACTGTTACTGGTCCATCACACCTCCCCGGGGCCCTCATCCAGGAAGTATCCCTTTGGCCATCTGTGGTGGATGCTGTAGGCATCCCTGTAGGGAGACACTGTAGCCACACTTCCTAGGAGCTAGCTAAAGCGTCTCCCTACACATCCCAATCACATCCCTCAGCGAGCTGTGGGTGCTTCGGTGCACGCTAACAGCTAAGTGTGAGTTGCTTCTGAAGGACTTGACCTCGGCCAAGGCAAAGTTGTTCCCACCCAGAGATCACATCACCCAGGACTATTAACCACCCTGGTGACTCCCTGAGACGCCCTTGGGAGTGAACTGCTGAGCAGAGGACAGCCATGCAGACAGTAACCACTAGTTCTTTCTTTGCTGGCCCACACTTGCTCCCTCATCCCCTTTCTGAGGTTTGCCCACCTCCACACAAATCACAATTGGTCAGGAATTGAAGGGAGTGTGCACCATATTTGACTGCAGTGGGAGTCCTACAATGTCAGAGATGTCTATTTCTGCCATTGCTATATTTGTCACATGAATAGATCCCCCTCGGGGTTTTCTAAGAGCCAACTGATGGGCACAGGGACTAACAAGGGGGATCTCATCACATCTCTGGTCTAAAGTCCTCCTGTGGCTGTTGCCCTAAGAGTAAGCACTGGTCTCAGCTGGTCATCAAGGGACAGCTGGCTCTGCTGGTTAACAGCGGCTTGGATGGCAGCAGGACAGTAGGAGGCATTGTCGTATTACCTCAATCTGTGTGACTGCTGAGTGCCAGACAAGAAAACACAACTGTTTGGATAGTTGTAGTTGCCTGCCCGTTAACTGTCTCAGTTAACGACAGAAGGGAGGCCGGCAATTCATCAAATGGTGTGTTAACATGGAAAAATGGTGGGATGAACCCACAGCATGCTATTGCAAGACCAGGTCTTAGCAGGTGGAGGTGGGGTGGGGTGAGGGGAGAGTCGGTCACCTTCCAGAGAATGGCCAGCTGCTGGGTCAGCACCTCAGGGTCACAGTAAACCTTCCTCTGTTGTTTTACTAGTTTGAGTTTATTTTTTATTATGTGTGTGTGTGTGTGTGTGTGTGTGTGTGTGTGTGTGTGTGTGTTTAGGCACAGGGCTTCAAACCTCATGAAATTCCCTGAGTGAGAGCTGCTGTTTTTAACAAGCACCATTTGGGGTCTGCTATGGTTGCAAAGTCTCCTGTGTGGTTAGTGTCCACTGAGACGGTACAGGGAGCGGGGAGTGGGGGGGTGGGGTGTTAGGAAGGGCTTGGGTCACAAGGCTCTGCCCTTCCTTATGCGTGGAGTAACTGTCATTATGGGAATGGATAAGATCCCTCGGATGTGACTTCCACATAAAACACCTTGCTACTTCCCCTCCACAGCACGTGACATCTTCTACAATGCTAGGGTTCTGAAAGGAAGCCTTCCTAGTTTGGATTTCCCAGCCCACTCCCTTACTAAGTGGTTTAATCCTCACAATCCCCCTTTGAAATGTCTCTCTCTCTCTCTCTCTCTCTCTCTCTCTCTCTCTCTCTCTCTCCTCCTTATACATGCTCTATCTGCATATAGGACTTTATGCCCACATAAAGGGCATCAGATCCCATTATGGATGGTTGTGAGCCACCATGTGGTTGCTGGGAACTGAACTCAGGAAGGACCACTGGAAAAGCAGCCCTTGCTCTTAACTGCTGAGCCATCTCTCCAGCCCCCTAAATGTCTCTTCTTTATTTAAAGTTATCCACTTTAAAAAAAAAAAAAAAAAAAAAAAAAAAAAAAGCTAAGGTAGCAACCACCTAAATTTATGCCAATGACGCGACCCCCTGGAGAGCAGTGAGACAGATTCCGGATGAGGCTCATGCTGCCTCATGCTGTGGACAATGACTTAGACCCAGCTAAAGCCCAGGAACATGGGACCCGCCGTTCTTCCGTGTTCAGACCCTTCCATCCCTGTCCAATGTACCCTCCTCTCTGGACTCATATAGAACCTTTATCCCAAACTGTCTCCTAAGTCCCCCGAGTTCCGGGAGGCACTTCATCAAACTATTGGATCTGAGAGGGGTTTGGGGGAGTTCTTGGGTTTGTAGCCATGTTGGACAGGAGTCCACGTGGTCTGACCCCTTGACCTTGTGGCTATCATCTGAAGTGGGGACGATCTATGGAAACAGGTCCTTATCCTGCCTGCTCCACTCTGCTTGAGTAATGGGTCAGAAATGAGCTCAAATGCTGGCTGTCTCGGAGTCAAGAGGTCTGGTGTCAGACACGGATATGCTGACTTGTTTGGGCCAATGTTAATATTTGTGTAGGATCAATATGCTACAAAGACTGAAACACAACTTATGGTAAAGGTTGACCTTTTAACCTTTGGTATCACCCTGCGTATCTTTCTGCTTGGAGAACACTAGACCATGAAGTCACACTGCTGTCAGTCCACCCTAGCGTCAGGTCCTATTTAGTGTAGCTTGCTGAATCCCCCAAAATAGCTAAGCCATTTGTAATAGTTACATTGGCAACATTGTGGCAGACTGCTTGACAGAAGAAATGGAAGCGGACAGGATTGGCTTTGGCTCACCAAGTCAGAGAGTCTGTCCATCCTGGCAGGGAAGGAGGGACGGAGGAGCTCAGCTCCGTGGCAAGAGTGTGTACTGGAAGCTGTTCAAGGTGGGTGAGGAAGCAGAGAACGTGCCGCACAGCAGGGCCTTCGAGGCTGACCCCATACCCAGTCACCCACTTTGGTCAGTTAGGCCTAACCTCCCAAAGTTTTCAGGAAGACTCAAAACGGAGCCATCAGCTGGAGCTCAAGAGCTCAAATCCTGAGCCCATCTCTGCATTCCCTTGCAAATACAATCTTAGCTTCACTCTGATGCACGGTGTTTAGGAGGCTGTCTTTGTGGCTGAAGAATTTACAGAGCTGTCTCTGAGGGGGATTTTCAGAACCTTTTTCTTTCAATGAGACAACTGAAGAACTAGTAACTGTCCAAGAAAATAAGGAAGGCATCTAAACTCAGCCACTCCCCTTTCCATGTCTTTTCTTTGGGGGGCAGGGTCTTGCTATATGACTCAGGCCGGCTTGAAACTCACTCACAGCACAGGAGGGCTTTAAACTTATCATCTTGCCCCACCTCTGGAGGCTAGAGTACAGGCATGCACCCCCACACCCCATGCTCCCTGCTGGTGCTCCCGACTAGTGCTCCCTTGTTCTAGCCACTTGGTTTCTCAGACAGAGAACGTTGGGGTCTCAGCTTCTTGACTTTACCAGGGGCTGTCTCTTCTCTCTGGAGAAGGCTTTTTCTCTCTACACACAGAACCAATATTTGTAGGCCTCACACCTAAGGGCCTGGTTTCCCTCCAGCACCTTCTTGGGTTTCTAATGCCAGCAACTTGGAGACTTCCAGCACTAGGTACAAACAATGGCCAAAGGGCACACAGGGCTGAATTGAACCCAGATTTCCTTAAATAAAAACGCCTAACTTTCTCAGGTAGATACTGGTTTTTCTTATGGCAGGACAGACATTAGAGACGGACCAATAGGAACAGAGATGTGATGTACATTTATTGGGAGAAGTACATTCAGCACACTAGAACTTGAGGGTTTTTTTCTCTCTCATTCAACCGTTTGCCATCAAAATAAAAGTGCAAACTTTAAAAACCTAACCATACCTGATTCCTGGTCAGGCTGAAGGGCGGTGCATTTAAAGGGAGACTTTATAGAGGTCTCCAGGGTTTCAGCTTCAAAATAAACAGATACACAGTAGTTTGTCTTTGGAAGTAAGTCTCGAAGGACATAGGTGAAGTTCCCAGTGATGCTCTTCATTGTGGGCTTGTGCTGTAAAAAAGAGACACAGACACAGAAACAGACACACAGACACACGGACACACAGACACACACACACACAGACACACACACACACAGACACACAGACACACAGACACACACACACACACACAGACACACAGACACACGAAAGACAGACAGACAGAGAGAGAGAGAGAGAGAGACCAGTTAAGACCTTGGTTTAAAAACATCATAGGATTAACTGGTGAAAAGGAGTCTAAGTCTCCAGAAGCTAGCAATTTACCACCAAACCACACCACACCTTCACATATTCTAAAACCATGACATCTGGCCCATCAGCTCCATTGTACGGACGAGAAGAAAAAGCCCTGAAGCAAATGAAGGTTTCCCCGACATCATTTCTACAATATTGTCATTTCCCTAGCCTCCCCTCTACCCTACAAAATAACTGTAAAAAGTCTTATTTTGCAGTTCCTCAAGTGCACTCTCAGCAGTGGACATGCTGTCACTTCTCCAGTTAGTGCTCCCCCCAAGCTCACTTTCTATAGCTCTGCCACAGGTCATTCCTTCCCTTTAAAAGAAAGGCTCTGGAGGAGAGCAAGCCCTGCGATGCTTTCCTGGAGCCCGTTCCAACCAGTCTCTGGCCCACAACTCACCAGAGGCACTCTGACGGAAGGCCTCTCTGTGTCCAGAGTTAATCTGGACACAGGACCTGCAGTGTCTGTCACGTCCCCCTCTGAACACCATATTAGCAGCGAACATTTCCCGACTGAGCCTCACTCAGAGTCCTCGTAATCTCAGGTAATGACAACTGTAACACACTGAGGCCTTAACCCTTCTCTTTTCTCTGCCACACTGTAGAGTCCATTTATAAAACCCATGTCGTACTGGAAGGTCACCACCAACTGGTCCAGGCTACTCCTGACTGTTGCTGGGTTACAGCAACGGCCTCTTTTATTTCATGATTTAAAGGCCAATTTTCTTTAATAAAGAAGAGGCCTGCTGTCTATAGCTTTCATCCTCCAGTGTTGTTGTTATCCTAGTAAACACACCTGACTTCTGACATAGTCTAAAATGCTGCAATTCGTGGTACAAACATGAAGACGCATGGCTGCAATGTGACAGGAGGTGATACAACTTCTCTCCCCATTTCTACCCCTGCCCCGCCCTGCCCCGCCCTCTCTCTCTCTCTGCCAAGTTGAGTGTTGAACATGACAGAAAGCAACTCCACCACTGAGCTACCTCCTGCAGGGCAGCTCAGCAGATGGGCACAGCCAGTAGGGCATTGTTCAGGTCTGAACTCGGGGAACCACTCACCAGCTTGATGCTCTGTCCCGCCTGTTCTCTGATGACAAGCGACTTATAACCTAGCATTTCCCATATGCTCTCCCCGAATATCTTGGGGGTGACAGGTGGAAATTTCATTGTGACATTTATGTGATCTGTGAAGCCAACAACCTCGAATTCTGGCGGCTCAACTCTAGCTGTGTGGGAAACAGGACGAGAGATGAATACAGTTAGTCCTTAGATACGCAACTGGACACCTCCTGTTGTCACACATGGTGTCCTTCCACTCAAAGAAACACTGATTCTGTTTGAATGGGCTTCTTGTTCTAGCTGGACAGCATTGTTAGGATTTACTGGTGCAAAACGGAGAATAAAACAGTAAGACGATTCGCCGGGTGTTGGTGGTGCACACCTTTAATCCCAGCACGAGGGAGGCAGAGGCAGGCGGAGTTCTGTGAGTTCAAGGCCAGCCTGGTCTCCAGAACGAGTCCCAGGACAGGCTCCAAAGCTACACAGAGAAACCCTGTCTCAAAAACCAATATATGTATTTGTAGAAAATATAGGTGGGAATTTTCTTTGGGTATAATCAACGTTTTTACAATGTGTGAATATGAATGTACACATAGTCACAAGTATTAACTGGATATATAAATGTCATACTTGCACATGCATGTTCACATACACACACTGAAACTAAGTCCTTCTAACCCACAATATTTTTTATGATTTCACTAAACTACTTAAAAAAACAAAAGAAACAAAAGCCCCAAACAACTCAGATTTTCCCTGCACAGCCCAGGCTGGCCTTGAACTCCCGATTCTCTAGGTCTGGTTCCTCAGTCCTGGGAACACAGGCGTGAGCACTATGCCTGGCTCACTTAGCTAGAGTTCAGAAACATTTTCATACATGCTTCTCTACCTCAAGGGTTAGAAAACCGTGTCTCATGGGTTAAACTTTGGCACAACCTACAGTTTTAGACTTTTTTCTTTTGGATGATTTTGCTGTTTTTTTAGGGATCTCATAGGAAAACAGGAAGAACCCAGGATGGGACAGAAACTGTGTGACCCACAGAGTCTAAAATGTTCTTCTCTGGCCTTATAGTATCTCTGACCCCAAACTCACCTCATAACTTTCCAGGTTGAATTTAAATCCTTGTATTCTAGACCCCAACTGATTCACTATTTTGAACAAATAGATTATCCTTAACGTCCATCAAAAGAATCAACGTGTCATTCAGTGTTCTTGGAGCTACAGTTTTACATTTGTCCTTAGCTGTTTCTCTCCCCCCCCCCCCCTTTAGCTGTCTTGGGACTCGGTTTGTAAACCAGGGTGGCTTTGAACTTAAAGAGATCCACTTGCCTCTCCCTCCTGAGTCCTGGGATTAAAGGTGTGCACCACCACCTTGCTCTTTTTCCTTTTAAAAAGTTTTTTTTTTAATTTAAAATTGTATGTATGTATGTATGTATGTATGTATGTATGTTTGTTTGTTTGTTTGTTTTCAGGAATGTGCATGTGTAGTTGCCTTCAGAGGCCAGAAGAGGGCAGAAGATCCTTGAAGCTGGAGTTACAGGTGGTGCACGCCTCCCTGTGGACGCTGGGAACTGAACTCAGTGGCTCTGCAGGAAACTATGTTCTCTTAATTGCAGAGTCAACTCTCCAATCCTCTTGGTCATTTCTCTATAACAAATTATTAATGAGGAATTCTTGGCTAGAGTGGTCACATGTTAAAGGTTTTTTATTTCATTTATTCTCTCCATATTTGATAGAAACACATCTACTATTTTAAGGTGGTTTTTTGTTTGTTTGTTTGCTTTTAGTTTTTTGAGACAGGGTTCCTCTGTAACTTTAGAGCCTATCCTGGAACTTGCTCTGTAGACCAGGCTGGCCTGGAACTCACAGAGCTCCTCCTGTCTCTGCCTCCCGAGTGCTGGGATTGAATGCGTGCGCCACCACTGTCTGGCTCTTAAGGCTTTTTTTTTTTTTAAGGTTTTAATTTACTTTATTTATGTTTATGCATGCATACATGTGTGGGGATCAGAGGACAACTTTTGGGAACCAGCTCTCTCTATGTGGGTTCCCGAGGTTGACTAGGTCACTGAGTTTGGGGACAAGTGTCTCATTTACCCACTGAGTCATCTTGCTGGCGTATGTTCTTTTGTTGCTGTTGTTTTTAATGCACATGGCTGGATCTGTTCAGAAGAACCATGCCAAAGCATGATGTCTGTTTTGTGTTTCTAATCCTGGGGGTTTTGTTTTGCTTGTTTGTTTGACACAGGGTCATACTATATATCCTTGGCTGGCTTCTTACATTCTATGTAGCCTAGGCTGACCTCCTGTCTTGGGCTCACAGGTGCTGGGATTACAGGTGTGTGATGCCACACCTGGTGACCTTAGGTTTAGTGTCTTTCTCATATTTGTCATTTGGATCATGAAAAAAATACTTATTACTTTAGTATCAATTCCTTATCATGATCTATAACTTATTCTTCAATTTGTTTTCTGTGAGTCTATGCACAGACATGAACGTTGATTCAAAGCCTAGATACTACTGCAGTTACCTCTCGAGATCTGAATCATGGACATGGCTCAGCCACCACTATAACTTTGCCAAGTATGTTCGTATGCACACTTGGTCTGTAACAGCATGCCAAAACCAAATCATTACCTTGGAAACCAGTTATAAATTTAGAAACTGAAACAGTAATGGTGTTGTAGCCAGTAATGCAAGTGCTCAGGGAGTGGCCTTCAGACACAGGGAAAGAGAGGAAGGGGTCACCCCACTCCTGGGTTCCACTCACCCTGTGAGCTGAGGGCCCTTGCTGCTCATATATGCAGCTTTATTGGGCTACAGTCTCAGGCAGGTTGTGGTAGTCAGGAAGACAATGGCCTAAAATGTGACAGCTTAAGAAGACCCGTACAAATCCTCCTCCCCACTTCCTGTCAGGCTGTAAAAAGAGCAGGAAAATAGCTGCAATTACTGCTGGAAACCTGCACAATAATCTGAGAAGTCCAGGTTATGGACCCACTTTTCAGATCAGAAAGCTGAAGCTCTGAGCAACCAAATGACCACACAAGGTAGACCCAAGAGTCAGCCCAGCTCTCAAGCCAAACACCTTTGCCCACCTTCCCCTTTTGTGGCCAACCAGCATTGAGACACGAGACCCACTCGCTGTCAAAGGATGAAGAAACCCACTCACTGTCTGTAGCCACGACAGAGCCTTCACAGAGGCTCACTGTGGAGTTGCCTCTGTAAATTACAATGAGGGGAACGTAGATCTCACTGGGGCCAGTCCACTCCTCTGTCACGTCGCAAGATGGTTCTGTGATATTCGTACAGTTCTCCAAAGCCTTCGGATCTTCTGGTTTGCTTTGGGGTGGGAGGGGGGATATGAAAGGAAAAGCTGAGCGTATGTTTTCCAAGAATCCATTTTCTGTGTCTCATTTATTTCCTACTGGGCTCTGCCTAGATAGCCCATGCTCACTTTGTTTTAAAACTGACATGCTCAACTCTCCCTAGCCCACGCTTCTCTTCTTGATACCCCCCCCACCCCCCACCATTCGTTTCCACAGCTACACTACACCATTATTGGTTTAATGATGTCCCCAGGCTCTTTCTGAGTATCTGTGCCTAGAGGGAAGGGTTTTTGTTTCATGGATGCAATCCACTGCATGTGTACATGCATGAATGAGTGAATGAATGAACGAACTTTGGGCTTGGGCTTTCCTGGCCTAAGGCTCGGACCTCCTTCATACTCTAGGATAATCATGACTGCTTTCCCAAGACCTCCCTCTCTGCCTGAAAGCCATGCAGCTCAGTCTTAAGTCAGGGCTGTGTTAGTTTAGAGGCCGCATGGACGTCTGATCCTCCGGGCTTGGGGTAAGAAGGAGAAGATGCTGGCTAGCTTTGACTGTCAACTTCACACAGGTGGGGAAACGAGCCCAGATGAGTTTGCCTGTGACACATCTGTAGGTGACGATCTTGACTGTTAACCGAGGTTGGAAGATGCGCCCTGAAGGTGGCAGACCCTGCTTCCTGGGCTGGTGTTGAACTGTATGAGTAGCGCATGCTAGCTGGGTGATTAGCTTAAGCCGAGCAAGCAAGGATCCACACATTTGTTCTCACTCTAATCATGACCGTGATGTGATGCTTCCCTCAACAATGGATTGTAACCTGGAATTGTAATCCAAATAAATCCCCTTCTTCCCCAAGTTCTCTTTGGCCAGCGTATTTTATCACAACTACGGAAACTAAACCAGGTAGGTTAACAATATGTGTGATCATCAAGCAGATAAAAACCAAGCCTTGCTGGCTTGTCAGGAGAAGGGAGATCCGCAGAGGACCCTTGGCCTCTTCTGGCCAGTTCAACAGTTGGAAGTCAGATATGTGATCAAGAAAAGGACATTTCGAGCCAGGGGCACACTGCCTGCAAATATACACTCTCTCCTAAGAGCTACTTGGTCTAAGCAAGGATGCAGAAAAATGCTGTTGAATGTGAGAGCCATAGGGCTAAGGCAGTCTCCATCAATTCCATGCCCACTCCTCCTAACAGGGCTAAGGCAGTCTCCATCAATTCCATGCCCACTCCTCCTAACAGGGCTAAGGCAGTCTCCATCAATTCCATGCCCACTCCTAATAGGGCTAAGGCAGTCTCCATCAATTCCATCCCCACTCCTCCTAACAGGGCTAAGGCAGTCTCCATCAATTCCATCCCCACTCCTAATAGGGCTAAGGCAGTCTCTATCAATTCCATGCCCACTCCTAACAGGGCTAAGGCAGTCTCCATCAATTCCATGCCCACTCCTCCTAACAGGGCTAAGGCAGTCTCCATCAATTCCATGCCCACTCCTCCTAATAGGGCTAAGGCAGTCTCCATCAATTCCATCTTCACTCCTTGAAGCAATCCTAAAGCAGAGACAAAAGCTCTGGGCTAAATATTAAACTGGTCAGTGACCAAATGACTTTGGACTCAATCTTGTCCACCAGGGCTTTCTGGAGTCTAACTTGTCTCCATGAGTAAAAAAACATGGATATAAACCATCAATACGGTCAACAGACCTTTGAGCCCTATGGGAATTGAGACACTGAGTGTCAGGGTGACTGAAGAGGGGTCACTAGGAAAACTGTCAACTGCAGAAAGCTGGCTTTGGTTATGAATACAAGCTTTGTCCCCATATAGCTTTGGGTGGTTAAATAATTCAAATTAATTAAGAAAGGATGGGTGTTTTGCCTTTGACGCTTTAAGGTTCTGAATTAAAAAAAAAAAAAAATACAAGACAGAGAGTTGGGAAGATGGCCGAGTCAGCGAAGTGCTTGTCTGGCATGGATAAGGATCTGCGTTCGATCCCCGGCATTGCAAGGTAGGGAGGGCATAGAGGCAGCACCTATAATCCTAGCCCTGGGGAGACAGGGACTGTAGGATCCCTAGGGCTTGCTGGCCAGCCAACCTAGCAAAAACCTCAAGCCCAGTGGGAGGCTGTCTCCAAAACTAAGGTGGAGAGTAAATGCGGCAGACAGCTAATGTCAACCTCTGCCCTCAGCAAACACATACGCACACAGCCCCACACACATATAAATTAACTTAAAAAAAATCTGGGGCCGGAAGTATGTATTCTGAGGGGAGAGATCACACAATAGAAAGAAAGTAATACATTCAGGAAGAGAAGAAAATGAAACGTCAACCAACCTCATGATTGTGAACCAAAACGTATAGTGAGTTAGTGGGATGGATTTGTTTTTTAATTCCCACGATAAAATTAGCCGGAAATTACGTAATGTCAGGTTCACATCGCAAGATTCCTTTGGATAATCTGGAGGGAACAGAAGGTGAAAAGAAAAACAAAACAAAATGAAAACAAAGTAATGAAATTTAGAATTCAGGATTGCTCTCCCGCTTAGGAGCTCAGACCCAGTGTCCCCCAGAGAAGCCCTGCTGGAAGCCTACTGGCATCCGGAAGAGCAGGGAGTCTATTGGACATGGGAAATGAAGTAATTCAGTTAATTAGTGACAACATATTGTCAGAACAGGAAAGTCCACAAACAGGAACTCAGCACCCTGTAAACAGAGTTGGACACCGGGTTTTTTCAATTATCATCAACTGTATAGTTCCAAGATAACCAAGTTCCTTCTGGACCACGGGTGTTCTTCCCTCCCCATCCTACTCTCAGCTGGTGGTCCATGAATCGCTCCACCCACTTTAGACTCCCCCCTGTTTTTCTGTCTCTCTCCCTCCCTCCCTTTCCCTAACTCAATTCCCTACTGCACTTTTATTCCCCCTGGTCACAAAAAGGAGGAAGAATTTTAGTTAAAAAAAAAATATATATATTTTCCTTTACCTGAAATGAGCATTAGGAGATTAGAAATTAAAGAGAAATTATATCTGGATCATATTTTGTTTCTTCATTCTTTTATCAGTGAGGGGTTAAAGGCTTCAGTGTTTCTGTAAGAGGATTTCTTAATGATCTCCAGTGGGTTTTTTTTTTTTTTTTTTAAATGATAGTTTTAGGAGACGAATAGTGGAAACTGCATTACACAATCTTAGCTCCTCTCGGGGACAAAGGACTCTAATAAACTTGTCAGTATATCTAAGACCAAACTTCCCCTTGCCCTGTCTGCTAGCCTGACACTCTGACCTTACATTAAATTTAGTCAAACTCAGAGTAATTCTTACCCTCAAAAACAGATGATGAAGTGAACTGTAGGCTCACACACACTAGGAGAAAGAAAAACACATTACAATGAGGTTTATTCTTGGCTCAGATCATCAACATCACTTCAAATTGAAGAGTCTTTGACATGCGTGCACTAATTAACATTGAGATTTGCTTGTCCTAACAAAAACACTGCGAAGAACAGAAATGTCCCTGGCTGATGTTGGTACCACAGACAGGTGTGTGTTCTGAGGGTGGCTTTCAGGGCAGATGTCAAGTGAGGTCTCTGGGACCTGACACAACAGTAAGGGTTGGGTAGGAAGAGGGAGTGTCGGAGGAGCAGCTGTCTATATGAAAAATTTCTCAGGATACAAATAAGCGAAAGGGTAGCGGTGATGGGAATTAGTGGTTGTTGTCCCCTTGGAGTAGGTTCAAGTAAGGGGAGGGGCATTTATTTCTGGATCTTGCAATGGCTTAATGGGAGTGGAGTTTCTGGCATTTTACAGAAGGTGGAGACCACAGGTGGTACACATTATCCATGGACACCTATACTGGGACAATTGTCACACTCATGGATTCCCTAAGGACAAACTCGGGACAGATGACACTGTGGTCATCTTCAGATGAAGCAGTCATGAGACAGGAAGAGAAAGGGTGTGAAAAAAATAGAACTGTACGAAAGAAAAGGGCTAAAAACAGATGAAGTGCATGACCCCGAGTTCTGGGCTAGATTTTCAATTTGGTGTGCATGGAAAGAGATGAGGGGCTGTCCTCTTCCAAACTCCACCGTGGATTAGACTTAAGCGTATGGAGATTATAAGCAAGGATTGTACCTTACATTATTTGGGCTTAACTACATTTAACAGGCAGGAAACGATGGGATGCCTGATGCTGGTGGTCATGGTGACCCAGGTCCTCCAGCTAGGGACATCGATTTGCCCCTCCACACCAGAGCTCTGTGTGATGACACGGACACAGGCTTGCTCCTCTAACAGCTGTGATGAAAAGGAGCACCTACCCACGAGACACAGGCTAAGTAAACGGACGATGGAGAAGGCGTGGCTCGGAAGCATCCTGGTGAGTCTGTAAGTCCTTTCTCTGCTCTCACATCTGGAAGAAATTAATATTGAGATCAAAATTCAGAAGTACCCAATTACATTGTCATATGTATATGACATACATATGTATGACAATAAAAGACGAGTAAGAATTAGCTGAATTCGAGCTGCAAATGTGGCTCCATTGGTAGCCTTGAACTGGTCTCCAGCCTTTCATAAGCTCAGTGTGGTGATGCACATATGTTATCTAAGCACCCAGAGAGGTGGGGAAAGGATCAAAAGTTCGAGGTCATCCTCAGCTACACAGGGAAGGGAGTTTGAAGCCAGAATGGACAAAAAGGCAGCCAATTCCTTGGGATCGGACCATCGCTTTACTCAATTCTTCTTACAGCTTATGGTCGGTCCCCTAGTTAAAGAGACCTTTCTAAAACTTAATGTTTGAAACGTCTAAAAGGCAATAGACATTCGGTTAATCTAATTATTAGATAATTACATTTAAAAATCTAACTCTGTGTCTATGTGTGGGTAAGTGCAGGCGAGCAGTGGTGCCTGTGAAAGCCCAAGTAGGAGGAGTTACAGGCAGTTAGGAGCCACCCTTCATGGGTGCTGAGGATGGAATCTGAATCCCCTGTAAGCCCTGAACTCCCGAGACATCTCTCCAGCGCCTGTATTGTCACTATGTGACACAGGCTGGCCTGAACTTGAGCAAGCCTCCTGCCTCATCCTCCCAAGTGTTAGGATTACAGACAGGCACCACCCTCTTGGCCAAATATACTTCCCTTTCTTTCAGGCAAGAGGTGGAATATCCAGCCCCCTTCTATTTAATTTTTTCTACTAAAAATAAATTTGAGATGTCTTCCCACCAAAGAAAATACTCTTTTTTTTTTTAAATATATAGTTGTACAGTATGCCTCTATGGACCAACTATCAATCACAGGAAACTGCTCCACCCACACTGACTCTGTTGTGCCGTGCGTTCCCTGCCAAGGTGCATTAGGCCCTCTCAAACTGTGAGCCAACACAATCTTCTGTTTTGAGTTGCTTCTGGTCAGGTGTTTGGTTACAGAAGTGAGAAAAGTAACTAATACAGAATACTGGTAGCAAGTGTAGCCATTGCTGTTACAACCTTGGCCATGTGGTTCCTCAGTCTTTGGGATGGTTTTCCGGAGAAAGGTCGAAGGTTTTAGAGCTGTTGGCTACAGAAGCTTTTTAAGTGCCTGTAAAGTGCTTAAAACTTTAAGTAGGAATTTGGAAGACCAAAATGCTGTCAGATACACAAGCAGAAAAGACCGTGCTCGTATGGTTTCAGAGAGGAACAAGGATTCTATAGGGAAGTGGGCTAAAGGTCACTTGTAGTCTGGCAAAGCATCTGCCTGTGATCTGAGTAGGCTGAGTGGGAAGTCAGAGCAGGACATCGGAATTAAAGGCTGGTGCCCATGCAGGCTGTCATGGTTACTGCTCACCGAAATACACGGAGAAACATGCAGCCTGGCAAGGAACCGGGGCAGTTTAAAGTAGTTTGCTGGCGAGGCTAGGGCTTCATCCACACCTGCCTCGCTGTAAACCAGGCTGGCTTTGAACTTGGACGGATCCTCTTGCCTTCCTCAATTCTGGGATCACAGCTGTACACCTCCATGCCCAGTGAGGATGGGTGTGACAGCATCTTATACAGGGGTTTGAGCATCTTTGGAGGTTGGTATTCCAAGATTCTCTGGAACTGACTCCGGAGGTTATCAAGGAATTACTGTATTTATTTTCTCAGCTTCTGGGGTTTGAGTCTTAGGAAGCATTCCCCACTCCAAGTAGAGACAGGGGTTCTTAAGCGTTTAAAGGAGCCCATTTAATGTTATTTCTTCTCTCTGACCGAGGTCTTAGTCATCACAGATTCTTTGGTCCTCCACACCAAAATAAAACCTTCTGAGACCAAAATCAAAAGGCAAAAGGACCACAAAATGGCGGACTCAGCTCAAGCTACAAAAAACTTAATTTTATAAGTCCCCTTGACTGCCAGTTGGCAGGTCCCACTTACGGCATCTTCCAGAGAAATTTAGGAGATTCCAGGTTAAGATTCACAGCCCTTCTGCGGAGATACCCAATCACCCTCCCCACCACTTATCTTATAACCCCACTTTCCTGTGGAAGCATCGTCTGGGTAGCCTTGTGATGTCTGTCATCACTTCCCATCACAACTCCATGGAAGAGTGGTTGCATGGCCAGGAACATTCCTGGATGCAAGACACACTTGCGTGGTCTTATCTGGGATGCCTTACTTGCATCTGCACACCTGCCTTGGTCCTCTGCTTTTTTTCTGATGGTAATGGGTCTTTGTTTTCAATGGGTCATTGTTTGCAGCAAGACTCAGCTGTTTCAGTAGTGGGAGCATAGACACACAGACACAGACACAGACACAGA